CTTCATTTCTCGGCATAATGTGTTCTTTGATCTTCCTCTTTTCCTTTGGCCTTCAGGACTCCATGTGAGGGCTTTTCTTGTGACGCAGTTGGGTGATTTCCTCAAAGTGTGCCCAATCCACTTCAAGCGCCTCTTCCTGATTTCTTCCTCCGCTGGAATCTGGTTTGTTGTCTCCCACAGTAACTTGTTATCAATGTTTAGTTTAGTTGAAACTATTTCGTCATGCTTCGGTAAATACTTTATTCAAAAACAACAAAATGTAGTTTCTTGAATCTTGTTGAAATATTTCAGGAAATTAGCTAAACTTGTAGTTAGTTATTTCGAATATTGAATGACATTATTTAAGCAAAGAATTTATGTTCCTGTGGAAAATTGGCTCATTGAAAGAAAGATGAAAATGTTCATCAGTTTTGATAGTGTAGTAAATATTTAGACCAGTATAGTAAGAATATCAGAGTACATGAATCCATATGGTTTGTTAGCTATGGTTTTGTCTTACAAACAAAAGTTGGATGAGAAAATCCACAAACATACCATCGAGAATAGGTATTCCCTTTAAGTTCAAATATAACATACATCACCACCAAATGAAAGTGTGAATATTTCGGCAAAATTACAGAATGATTATTTAAGAGTAATGAATATATTTTAAGATATTTTAAGACGTGTAAATAACAAAATAATCATGGATTCCTGTTGTAGTGAACGAGAACACAAGTGTGGACAACCAAATTTATTTGAATACAAAATTACGGAATCTCTTGGTAATATCTGAGAACGCTACAGTAAATACTTTATTTGCTAAATGTCAATCAGTTGTCTCAAACATCATTGTTCCTTTGCTTCCACATCAATCATTCTCTGTTCTCTCCTCCAGACATTTCACTTTCTATTAATGATACGTACTACTTATATCTGTCGACATCACACACCGACACACCACACTCGTCCCCCATTTAGAGCAATCGTTCTTCCAGTGGTTTTGCTCGCCATGCCACTTTCTTCTTTTATACTGTCTGTGCAACGCTCTTCGTAAAAATGTCGAGTCTGCTGCGCCTTGACCTTCATAGTTCCGTCGACTTGCCGGGCCATCAAAATCCAACGTACACCCAGCACCCTGAACGTTCAACGCCTGCGCTCCAGCGACATGCTGAACCATCTACGTCCGATTTCCGCCCAGTAGCCGCACGTCACACCGTCCCTATAGACAACACCACCCGCCAAAACACGCCGTTAGACGTCACCTCCCCACACCAGACCGCCCCAACTAGCACCTCAGCTCCAGGCCCGCAACGGTGTCTGCAGAATAGCACCCTTCACCTCTCCTGTTAGCACACACCACACTGTTAACAAGTCAAAGATTATTCGAAAGTAATCTATGATAATACATACTGTGCTCAAAAGTTTTTACCCCTTAAATTAAGTAGCTATTTGAATTTTAAAATAACTTAGAGGCGAAATATTTAATGCAGTCGGTTTATAGAGAATTCAGATGTGTGATGTTAGAAACAAAGGTACATTTTCTAAATAATAAAGTATACATGAATGTAAATCGAATTTATTCGTCTCTCAATACATTTTATGGAAAATGACTTTTTTTTCGTTAAACAACAATGGAACTTTCCCAAAAATGATGTCTTCATAAAACTTCTCGAGTTCATTATGAAGTTAATAACTAGTTAAATATATGTTCAATATACTGCAGTTTTAAGTTATCATGAAATTTTAACATTAGTTATAACATACATAATTGAACAACATTTCTAAGTTATTGTCTATGGTCAAATAGTTTTAATAAGTTTTCTTCATTTAACACGCCTATTTAAACAAAATCATTTCTTTTTACAAGATTTTTTATTTAAATTTAAAAACTTGGTTTCATAGTAGTTAACTTTTTTTTATTTCCATGAAGTAGCATAGTACCAGACTGCTGAATGCTTCTCTGGAGTAAACTTGATTTGTCACTCTGATCTCCTCTAGTGTAACCTTAAATTCACATACAATACAATTATTTATAAACAAACATCGATAGTGGCTAGCAGTGGAATCCAGGACACTAGTTTCGCCCTATTTTGGACTCTTCAGCTGGATTTACTTGCATCTTAGAGTTGATGTTCACTCTGGAACTGCTAGCCACTTCAGGCAATATCGAGGCAGTCCACACAGGATGGACATATTTCAACAAGAGATTGATCAATTGCAGTCCTAGATAACAGTGGGAAGATGCAAGTAAACAATAACAAATAAATAATATAATTATTGTAAGCAAAGATGGTTAGTGGCTAGCAGTGGAATCCAGTTTGATGTGCTTTTCGTCCTATTTGGGACTCGTCAGCCGGATGTACTTGCATCTCAGAGTTGATGTTCACTCTGAGACTCGAACTCAGTACTTTTCGCTTCAAACGCCATCGCGTTATCCACTCGGCCAATGAGTCCTGATAGAACGAAACGCGCGTCCTGGATTCCATTGCTAGCCACTATCCGTCTTTGCTTACCATGCTTGTGAATTAAGGCTATATAGAGGCAATACGCACAGTATGCACATATGCCAATTAGAAACTGACCAGTTACAGTCCTAAAACATCGATGTGAAGATTCAAACAAACAATACTAAATGAATTTAATATAATTATTATTTTAAATTATCACTAGATTCCTCTTGTTAAAATAGCAAATACATCCCAACCATAATACACTTATACATAATCATATATTCTGTTTTAAAATATTCCACAATAATTTCATTTCAAATCTGGCGCCATTATGAATGATCTAGCGTCGTGCAATGAATAAACTAACTAAACTATTCGATACTTCTTATTCATTATTCAATGTTGTTTTTTCTGAAAAAAAGTCTCCCTAATCTTATTCACCTAAAAGTTTTTGTTACTATGATTCAAAGTTTAAATTTTTTTTGAATTTTGATTCTTTTATTTAAAATCAGAACAGTCAATGATTGTTACTTTATCAGTTAAATTATCAATTCAATTGAAATATTTAACTAAAAAAGTAATGTCGCCATTTATTTACCAATAATGTTCTGATTGTTATGAATGTAACATTTGAACTTTGTATAAGAGTAATCAGGAATAATATGTTAGTTTGTACTAGATAGTTCACTTATGGATGTATACTACTTATATCTGTCGATATAAATAGTATATAAAACCAATGAGAAGTTGAACACCTGTCTAAAAAAGATTGTACAGAAGAAAACAGAGAGGGAAGTAGGAAGGTATTGTGAAGTGGAAGGATCATATGGAATGTAGAAGACAATTAATGGAAGATTTATAAATGAAATATTTCAATCACGGCTATCAGATGGCTATCAGGACTCAGTGGCCGAGTGGATAACGTGATGGCGTTTGGAACGTAAGGTACTGGGTTGGAGTCCCAGAGTGAAAATTAACTCTGAGATGCAGGTACATCCAGCTGGCGAGTCCCAAATAGGACGAAAAGCGCCTCCTGGATTCTATTGCTAGCCACTATCCATCTTTGCTTAAAATGCTTGTGAATTAAGGCTATATTGAGGCAATAAGCACAGTATGCACATATGCCAAGTAGAAACTGACCAGTTACAGTCCTAACACATCGATATGAAGATTGAAACAAGCAACATTAAATAAATTTCTACTGGTCATTATTTTTCTCACTGAAATTCGAAAAACTATCTCTAAGCAAGTTACGATTATGCAGGCTGAATTTGAAGTGTTACATCATGGAATAACTATTGAAAGACAACCATTTAAGATCAGGAAGAACTGGAAGATTGTTTTCTTTTTCTAGCATGGGACTCCACAGCAGTGGGCATCCATGACTCTATCAGAGACCGAACGCAGGACCTTCAGGCCTCGGCCCGATACTTTGACCATTAGATCACTGAGTTGGACTTCATTAGTTAGTATTTCTAGTTTAAGTCAATTCATGATATTTTCTAACAACCGTCTATAGTCATTAGTGATGTTTGTATCACCTAGAATTGTATACATTAAATTACTTCGTACTTTGATAAAACTGACTTTAGCATACAAAACTCATGGGAATTTTCGGATAATGGAAACGTAGCTAAAATTAATGGATGATTTTGATGTCACTCGTTACTTTGGGGTTAGAGTGGTTAAACCTATTAGTTCTTACTGACAATTTGAGTAATATCATCAGTGTTTTTTTCAAATGAAAGTCAATTTTCGAAATTACTAGACAATTGCCAAATTAATATTAATTGCCAAATTAGATTTTTTTAATAATCTTTACTATACCTGGTTACATGAAGATGTTCTGTTTAAATCATAAGTTCGTTTTCATAACTAATTACAATTTTACGCAATTGATTGAAGGACCTTGTACTCATAGGCTTGCAGAATGGATCTATGTTGATACGCTTTTTTTCATTTCAGATTAAACGAAATGGTAGACCTCTAAAATTTCTTCAACATTTTTGATGTTTAGTAGACTCTACTTGGTAAATTACAAAAATATTTGGAAATGGAAAGTTGTAAAAAACCTCTATAATGCGGTGCTGAAGCTTCGGTACATTTCATAAAAAAGGGCTCTATATTTAGATCATTGGAATTTAAATGGGATTCTTTAAATGTTAGCCACTAAGAAAAAAACTGAGAGAAGCTATAGATCTTATTTTCATACTGGTTTATTTTCATCATCAGGAAGTCTCTTGATAAAGCATTTCGAAGGAAGTTGATGTAACGATTGGAGTGTGTGGGCTTTCGGTAGATGGATAAATTTAGAACTCCATTTATATTTCTTTTCACTAAGCAATCTAAGAACGGTAGCTCTCCATGTTCATTTTCATTCCCATTCGTGAATTTGATGTGAGATGAAAGTGTATTTAACAGTTTTGAAAACGATCTCAGATGCGTCTTTTTTATTACTACAAATGTGTCATCTACATATATGAGCCAAATTCGTGGTTTAATTTCGTTGGAGAAAATCTTTGATTCTATGTGTGTCATAAAAAGATTGGCCACACACATAGAATCAAAGATTTTCTCCAACGAAATTAAACCACGAATTTGGCTCATATATGTAGATGACACATTTGTAGTAATAAAAAAGACGCATCTGAGATCGTTTTCAAAACTGTTAAATACACTTTCATCTCACATCAAATTCACGAATGGGAATGAAAATGAACATGGAGAGCTACCGTTCTTAGATTGCTTAGTGAAAAGAAATATAAATGGAGTTCTAAATTTATCCATCTACCGAAAGCCCACACACTCCAATCGTTACATCGACTTCCATTCAGCACATCCTTTCAGTGCTAAAATTTCGTTAGCCTTAAATCTTGTTAGAAGAGCCAACAAGATCATCTCTTCAGAAGAGGACAAACAAAAAGAACAAAAGAATATAATTAGCATCTTACGATTTAATAATTTTCCTATGAAGATTATTAGAAGTATATTAAAACAAGACAATTCAGTACACAATAATAATAATAATTCGAATGAAATGCCATGGATTGGTACTGCAGTCTTACCATACCGTCATGGCACAACTGAAGAACTCCAACGGATATTAAGACAACACAGAATTAAAGTATATTACAAAACAACTAACACACTTCGAAATACTTTAGTTCGATTAAAAGAAAAAATACCATTCATGTCTACACAGAACTGCGTCTACAAATTAGGTTGTGTCGATTGTGATGCCTTCTATATTGGAGAGTCATCTCGCGAAATCTTAACTCGCGCTAAAGAACATATCAGGTACACAAAGAAACCGCCTAATAATCCTGTAGAATTAGATAGACTTCAGATTAAATCGGCAATAGCAGTTCACGCCATTTTCAACAGTCATCAAATTGATTTCAAAAATATCAAAATACTACAGAAAGGTTTTTCTAACTACAAAGAAAGAAGAGTAGCTGAAGCTTTCCATATAATGCTTAATCCCACAGCTCTCAATAGAAAGGAAGGCCTTACCATACAGCCTACTTGGACCATCTATCCTAGTCACTCAGTCTGATATTATTTACAATTTCACACCATTACATTACAAATCAAACTCTATCCTTTGTAATGATAAAGGTCACACAGTTTTCATTATTAACAGTGCATACATACACACAAAATTACATCCATGTCGCTTATGAATCACCTTGACCGAAATGAAATGACGTGACAGTGATTTATTCAGACCTGTTTTTGATTGATCACCTAATATTCTTTGATTGTTCCGTTGTACTATTTAAACTTGGATTAATATTAATTTGGTTATTTATTCTCTGAAGAAGTGGCTTACACTGAGTCACGAAACGTCAGAAAATCTAATTTTTCTACTCATTGGGATATTACAAATATATTAATTTATTGATAACAATCTACCCAATGCTCAATTTATTCAAAATTATCAAAAAAAGTAATTATAGATTAATCTGTTTGTACTAGGATTCTCTTAAAACTAATTTAATTATCTGATCTCATCTAATTCTATGTCTTATTTTTATGTACAATCATCTTTATATTTCATTTTAATCAAATGTCTATTTTAATGATATTTAATTCAATATTGACTTGGGAAAAGAGAAAACAACAATGAAACGTAAAAGGAAAAAAAAATCCCAGATATTGATGAAACTAAAACGTATGTATATGAGATATCGACTAACTTCTCTTCCCTTGTCAAATTAACTCAACTCATTTACATGATATCGTTGTATGTAAAATATACTTTTATAATAGTTTTAAAAGAAAATAATATCGACGAAAACAAATTATAGTATGAACTGACTTTATCTCGATCATTCATTGAAATTCAGTCAGCTTTGGATATCTATTTTTACATTTTGTTTTGGAATTTTTAGTACTGTGTAATGAAACTGTTTCCTAGAGATTCTAATCGGGAATTCTAATCCAATGGTCAAAATTTTCAAGTTCAGTCGATTTACTTTAGTTGATTTTCATACAATTTATATTTAACTTAATTAATCTCTATCAAAACATTTTTTTTCATAGTTGAAATCATGAGTCAATTGAAGCTAGATCACCATCCTAAACCTGGAAGCACTGGACGGCCATTTCTTCCTATTGTGGGACTTCTCATCAGTGCACATCCACGATCCCGCCTCGTCAGATTCGAACCCAGGACCTGCCAGAGCGCTTAACCTCTAGACCACTGAGCCGGTATCCGATAGTGTTAGCGTCTTACTTCAACCAATCCTCGAAGTTTGAGCATCCGTTCACCAATTGTCTTCAGTGAGCTGATATCTCACAACAGACGTGGTTGAACTTCACTGGTTACTGCTTCTCACTAGAACTCAAGGAAATATCTCTTGAAGTCAGTCACTAGTGAGCATATGATTATAATCAGAAGGGGTTTTGTGGATTTCAATATTTTCATAGTAGGTCCTGGGTTCAAATCTAGCGAGGCGGGATCGAGAATTCACATTGATGAGAAGCCCCACCATAGGACGAAATGGCCGTCCAGTGTTTTCACGTTTTCCATGGTGGTCTAGCTTCAATTGATTCATTGTTTCAACTATGAAAATACTGAAATTTCCTCAAAACCCCTTCTGACAAAATATTCTTCTTTGAATGGAATATTTCAATATTTTATCTCCTTTTCAATCCTTTTTTAATTTATATTATATACTAACAGAATGAATGTTTAAAATTACAGATAAGAAAGTGAAAAATAGATCTAAAGCGAATAGAAACTAGGATATGATAGATATCAAATCATCTTTTATTTATTATGATCAAAGGGAAACCTACATGACAGTTTGAATAGATTGGGTTTTGATTAAAATAATCTGTTTCAATCTATGTTCTCAATGTAGGTGTATAAAACAACAGTTTGAAAATCTTTTGAATTACTCCCAACAACTAAATTAACATATTTGTGGATCCTAAACTAAATGGTCGTCTAGTGCTTTCAGGTTTTCCATGATAGTCTACCTTTAATTGACTCATGAATCCAACTATTAAAGTGAAAATTATTTTATTTAACTGTTGTGACATAGTTTTCTACAAGGATAAATTTTAACTATTGAAAAATTTAAAGTCAAAGAGCATTGGACGTTTTTATTTCAGTATAGGACTCCTTAGAATTACTTCCTTACGAATTAGCTATAAGCCGTAGGAATTTGAAAGCTTGGAAAAGATAACTAAATTAATTACTCTATCAGATTATGATTTCATGTTCTGAACCTTTTGTTTTATAACTTGTCAATTTGTAATGAACGAGAACACAGATGGGGACAACCAACGTATTTTAATACAAAATTACAGAATATATTTGTAAAATCTGAGAATCATACACTGAATACTTCATTTGCAAATATCCATCATTTGTCCTTCACATTCTGTATGATACTTCCAGTTCACGATTGCTTTCTATTTTCCCCACTATTCTTTTCAAATCGATCTTCTTAGCTTTCTACTACGAATTACTTCCGATTATCTCTTTCGTCATATGTAGCATACACCACAGGTTGATTTCACTATTTGTCATCATTTTCATTTTCCAGTACGTTTTAACAAACAGTTTTTTGCTAAAATTCATTAAGAACTTCCTGTTTCAAACGTATGCTCTGTGGAAACCATTTTGTAAAATCTAAAATCCTTTGAAGTTCATTCTAAAATTCAGATAATCACCAAACATTAATTTTTTAAGTAGATTCTGTAAATTACAAACGTTTATAAATTAAGGAAAAGTATGATAGTATTATGGTGACAATAAGTAAAACAAAAACCTTATTACGGTTAACTTACAATGTTTCTAAATTTTAATAAAAAAGGAAAAATTTATTATCTGAATAATGTCAGGGATGCCTAACTTAAAAAATATCGATTACTCAATTACCGTCATATGTCTCCACTCATTCAGTGTTTCAGCAGGATATTACGTACGTACGCCTGTCACCCATGGTGAAGATAGGCCTTCAGTAAGACATGGTTACTGTTAATATCACTTTTCTTTGATAATTTCTTGCTGATCTTATCACAATATGTTTGGTTGAAATAGATTTTGGCTAAGGTTTTTTTATGAAAACCAGACTAAGATGTTAGTTCAGTGGTATTTTGATCTGTTTAGCTTTCAACCCAGTAATTCTAATGATGAGAAGACCTAATGGTTCTGTATTCGATCCCTCACAGAGTCACAACTGAGCAAAGCTGAGGAGTTCTATACCAAAACGATACAACAGTTCAATAGTCTTTGGTTTTCAGTGATACTTCAATCGAAATTATCTCATCATGACTACCATCTACAGATTGAAATGGATTTTGTGACCAATAAGCACTACTTTTTGTGGTAACGATTTATTATATGTCAATTAAATAGAAGTAATCAAAATGTCCGGAGAGGAAATGAACGCTAGCTCACGTTTTAACTTAGTATAATATTTGTTCAACAAAATATTTGTTCCATTTTAATATAAAATTTATTCAATATTACAGAGTTTGGCATCAATTTGCTCAGCATAACATACAGGATGTGTTTTTATGAATTCAGTTCAAAATTCATTCATCAAATGAATATAATGTTCGTTAACTTAACAAATGTTAATCGAATCACACTTGACGGAGAAGCTTTGGAGGATGTGAAAACCATTACATATCCGAGCAGCATCATTGATGAACACGGTGGATCTTATGTAGATATGAGGGCGCGGATCGGCCAAGCAACAGAAGCATATTTACAACAGAATAACTTCTGGAACCCAAAAAAATGCCAACCAACATCAATATCAGAATTTTCAACACAAATGTCAAGTCAGTTCTACTGTACGGGGCGGAGACGTGGAGAACTACGAAAGCTGTCATCCAGAAAATACAGGTGTTCATTAAAAGTTGTCTATGCAAAGTTCTTCGGATACGTTGGTCAGACACTATCATCAACATTCTACCGTGGTAGAGAACAAACCAGATTCCATCCACCGGAGGAAGAAATTAAGAAGAAGCGCTGGAAGTGGATACGATACACATTGAAGAAATCACCTAACTGCGTCACAAGGCGAGCCCTCACATGGAATCTTGAAGGCCAAAGGAGAAGAGGAAGACCAAAGAACACATTACGCCGAGAAATGAAGACAGGTATGAGGAGAATAGAACTAGAAAAGAAGGCCCAGGACAGAGTGGGTTGGAGAATGCTGGTCGGCGGCCTATGCTCCATTGGGAGTAACAGGCTTAAGTAAGTAAGTAAGTAACAAATGTCAGTAAAACCGACCTATAATTGAATGTATGTGGTTTAATAAGTGATTGTCGTGTCTTTGGATGGTAAAATAAATTTTCAACTGAAATTAGATTTATCTTCTTCTTTGAGTCGTGTTACCTGTTTTAAGTACTGGTTTTTCCGGTTATAAAAAAAGAAAGCCCTGAGCTTAAATATGCCGCTAGCCAGTACTCATGACTAAGCTATTTTCTCAGTTTTTAGGGAAATTATATACGGTTCCGGAACTCAGACTAATGTTCAAATTTATCCCCCAATCACTTGCAACAATTTAAAATCACGCATAATGAACATCAATGTCAAGTGCTGTTAATTTAAGCGAAATCATTCAGTCAACATTGAGTACAGTGCAACAAGAATTTAATAATTACCGCGTGAGTTCTTTGTGTGAAGGTTTACAAAGTTTAATGACATTGATCTCTGAGTATTATTAAGTATTAAAGCTGGCTGAAAATTAAACTAGGATAATCGCGAAGTTGATCTGTTAAATTTACCCACACATCCCAATACTACATTTTACCAACATTACAATGGTACAAATAATTCCACAAAATGTAACCCTATTGATGAGAATCTTATCGAAGGTCGAAAATTTAATTAAATAAGCAAGAAAACCACTTTCCTTTTATTCATGCATCCAAATAAGTCAAGCCCATAACCATATTACAGTCTTAAAATGTTTCATATAATTAATATATAATTAAATTATTTTGTTAAAGTAGTATAAAGAAGAAGAGAATGAAATCAATTTATCAGAGCAGTATTTTCCTCATAAACATAAATCACCAGAGACATCATAGCTACTTAATATCATCTCATCTAGGTTACAAATTCACCCCTATTCATATTCAGGTTCTTTCTCTTGTTTGACCTCGAATCCGAATAATGGTACTTAATCATTAATGACCCCAAAACTTTCCCTACTGAAATGAAATCTAGAAGAAAGTAACTAGTAGATATTATATATGTATATATTATCGGTAACACAAAAGCTATGATTTATATATTAGTTTCATTTTTCTCTCATATGTTAATTGTGAGAAACAATAAACATTTTTAAACTAGTTTATCTCAATTGACTGTTTTCAGCTATTCAGACACTGAAAACCAAGAAACAGTGGATAGTGGTTTAACTTCACTTTGACCAGTAGAGTCCGATCCGTGTAGGGT